AAATACATTAAAAATATCTTCTGAAAGAGAAAAGCACACAGGTTAGATAAGCTGGAGGACCCACGGGTTACTGAGAAAATCTAAATCAATGCCATGTTTCTGAAAAGGTCTAAAATAAAGAACCCAGGAGACACACAATAAAAACTGAAACAAGACCAATTGCACTACTGACAAGGTTGTGAAAAAACTCCTTGGTCCAGTTGGATAGATTTAGAAGCTCAGAAGAGAATTATAGGAGGAAAAAAAAAATACAGCAAGAATAGATGCGCGATCCAGCTGGACAGATTTAGAAGCTCAGAAGAGAATTATAGGAGGAAAAAAAAAATACAGCAAGAATAGATGCGATCAAAACAATGAGAAGAGAAAATGGAAAACAGTATCAGTCAACTTTAGTTGCAAACTAGTGAAGACTGTATGGGTCCACAAGCAGCCACAGTATCGCAACCATCCAGCTTTGTGCTAGGCTAAGACATCACAGCAAAGGCACTTGGCACCAAACAACTTCTGGCCAGGGATTTTACATTTAGAAATGTAAGACTCAGTAACATTTAAGGAATTTTCATTCTTGCCAGATAGCCATCCTCTTGCCCTGAAGCCATGTGACAAATGATCCCGAATACCATTTTGCTTTTTTATGCATCTGTTGTCTAAATCAGTGTAGAAACTGGAAGGAGACTCTGAATTTTGGCCCTTAGCAAAAGGGTACATTTTAGTGTCATAATGACAGTCTTGGCAGAATAGGACATTCTTACTTGAAATGTCTCTGCCATACTGAGAGATTTGTCCACCATAACCTGAGTCTGGCTCAACTGAAGGCACTATCAGTTCTTAATCCACAGGCAACTATTTGAGAACTTACAGAGCAAACTGTTTCTTGGAAATCTCACTTTATGAATGGTTGTCTCTGACCACCTTTCAGTGTTTTAAGAGGTTTCATTTTCATTTGAGTTCTTTGTTTTTCCATTTTAATTTTATATTACCAAAATACTCCTCTATAAATCACTATTGCAAAAAGTTTTGTTCTCTTTATTTAAATGAAAGTTGATCAAAGGCAAAATTTGTTTTGTGTTATATATGTGTGCGTACATATATATATATTAGTGTGTGTGTGTGTGTGTGTGTGTGTGTATAATAGTACCAAAAAAGAGAGCACATTTTTTCTGTCAAAATTAGTGTGTGTGTGTGTGTGTGTGTGTGTGTATAATAGTACCAAAAAAGAGAGCACATTTTTTCTGTCAAAGATGTGCATCTTAATCACTGTATCAAAGATGTTCCAAAGAACTGAAGTCAATGGGCAAGAGGCAGTTTTTAACCCCATCTGCAGTCCAGCGATTCTGGAGATGTGCTTAGTAGCATCAAAGCTGCAGTGGCCATCACTGATGAGCTGCCCAAATCAGTGAGACAGTGAAGCGTAAACGTCAATTTTGTTTTTTTTAGATGCCTGACCTGAGGAAGTGCTAAGAGCGAATTCCACCCCATAGTGCATCAGGTATCTTGTACAGCACCATCCTACTGGGCTGGGAAAAATAGTTCATGACTCATTTTTCTTTTTTTTTTTTTTCCTTTTTGTCTTTTTTTCGTGTCCGGCAACGGATCGCAACC